TATTTTTAATAATTTTTACAAATTAATTATTCAAATGTATTATGGATAATACAGATATCATTTAGAAGTTCAATTTAATATTAAATTTTCTATAATTTTTATAAATTAATTATCTAAATATACTTTGGACAGTCTATATTTAATATTAAATTTTTCATATTTTTTATGTAATTTTTTGATAAATATAATATTAAAAATATATTAAATATAATTTAAAATTTGGAGATCTTTTGAAGAAAATTAAAGGAAAAATAAGATCCCACAATAAGCAATATAATCACTAAAAAGTCAAATGAAATGCAAAAATAAGTTTGAAGTCTCACAGGCTTTCATTGCAAATAAGTTTGAAGGTGAATTTGTCAAAGTGCCCTTATCACTAATCTACACTTTCGTCATGTTCTTGGTTTGGAATTTTGACCTGTATTGCACTTTATCCTAAATGTGAGCTTCACAGGATCAACCGATTTGGGTTGAGACTCAGGCATGGTTTTCGAATGATTCAACATTGTTAAGGTTATTCCATAGGGGAAAGAGAGAGAGAGTGAATCGTCCATGATAACTCAAGTTTGACTTGGGTCCTCACATTCATGAAATGAACGCTTTGCTCATGGCAGAATGCATAGCACCATGAACTCCCATATTGCCTTCATGTTTAATTATAGCGATGAACGAACCTACCCCTAACCTGGAAAACTAACAATAACAACAACATAGGATAAATCGAGTTGTTCTTGTTCTTTACTTACAATAAAAAAGATGTTTTTGCCTTTATATCTTTCAACGAACAAAATCGATTGTGTCCTTGAAGGCTTTTGGATCAAGAAATAGAGTTGTGATGTCCAGGAACGTAATACTTGCCAATGTAGATTGTAACATCTTGAGTTTTAATTCCCTGATTAATTAAACCTAATTAGGGTAATTAAGTAAATTGAAGTGGTGTGTGGCCAGAAATGTCTAATAATCATGTTTGATATTATTTCAGCCCTAGTTGTGGGTCCGGTATTGAGGTGAACCACCCAAGCATCCAAAGGAGAAGAAAAATAAGAGTTGAAGTTGTTGTGCCACACGCCGCGGTGCGTAGATAGTCCGCTGCGGCTCATAGCCATCTCTGAGCGAGGGAGGACCTCTCTGTGCCATGCACTACAGTGCATGGCCATTTTCTATACTTTATTAGACGCGAAATGAGACAGACAAAGAAAGAAAAAAAAAGAGAGAAAGAATAAGCATGCCAACGCTCTGCTAGGGTTTGCTTGGGGACCACTTTGAGAGTATTTTGAAGGCTAAAAACACTCATGGTAAGCATCATACTCGTTAATCTCCCCTTTTCTTCCACATTTATGAGTTTATAATTAGGGTTTGATAGTGAAAGTGGGATTTCATTCCATATAGGTTATGGGTTCGAATTTGTTAACTCAAATGGAATTAATGGGGATAGACTAGAGTATTTAAACATAGGATTGATAAGTTTCGGTGTCTTTAGTTGTGGGGCACCATTAATATCCGAAAATCTCATTTATTGTGGGTGGTTGAAAGTTTGTGATGCCATTAGTGGGGAATTAATGGCTCATTAATGCTATTAGGGGTTAAAGGTAATTATTAAATCCAATGGTTAGGCTCCACCTCTTATAAAGTGAAGGTTGAGCAATTTAGAAGTAGAGATTGAGGGTTCAAATGTTTGAGTTTGTTATGTTAATGGAATTCAACTTGGTTGATTGTAGTTTTGGCTCTTAGTCACCTATTAGAGTGAAAATTCAAACCTGAAAGCTAATTGATTGAGAGGTAAACCTTTGACGTTTCAAAAATTTGAGGTAACTGGGAAAAAAATTTTACTTTGGGTAGTTGTATGTTAATTAATGGTTAATTGGTTGTTGATTGTGAGATTATGAATGTTACATGCATGAGATTGATTTTTATGTAAAACTATATATATGTTTCATTGAGTGTATGAAAATGTTATTTTTGACTTGAAAGTATAATATGTAAAGTCAAGAGAGTTTTGACTATGAATATTATTGTTGTTGTTGAAAGATGTATGTGATGAGGTATAGATATAGTTGTTTGTTAATGAAAAAAATAGATTTTTGAGAAAAGATGAGAATACACACATGGGTAGCACAAGGTCGTGAGCCCAACGTGGTTGTGATAATAGTGAGTAAATGAAAGTAAAAAACTAAACTCAAGTGAGTAATGATTATAGTGTGATTAGTGGCGGGAGTTCGCCTAGGAATTTGAGAGTAGAAAAAATCTATATGGTAATTAGGCTGCTCTCCGGTGCATGAGGGTTATAGCCTTATCCCATTGTTTGTCGAGGGACTATCCCATAGTTTGTCGAAGGACTAGAACCTAGCTATCTCTACCGGTTCAATAAGGAGAATAACTTAGGATATGAGACACCTCAGGGATTCAAGAATGGGGGAAGCCGTGGTCCAAGAGTGAGTCCTGTGATCTTTAATCGGGTCACACCTCACGATTGGTGAGCTTAGGTAGTCTAGTTATACGGACGGAGCCCTAATTAGTATTATAGCCCACAGTTTCAATATGAGGAAATAAGGAGGATATAAGGCTGGTTGATCACTGCCTAAGTAAATATATGACGTGTCACATGTGTTAAGCGGTGGCAGGTCGCAAGAGTATGGGTCTTGTCACATATCTGAGAACATGATGATAATGCACGTATTTATGTGAGTAAAGAAGTTATAGAGTGTTAAAGATAAAATGTGATATATGGGGACATGTTTTATAAATTTGATCTCCTTGTGCATGTATTTGTTTTATAATTGATATATAACTGCATAGGGTAGGTATAACCTTGATTATTGAGTAGTTAGACTCACCCTCTTATTTGATACTTTTCAAGCTCTAACTTTAGTGTTGAGAGGGAGAAGACTAAAGAGGCAGGGAATTAACATATTTCTACTGTATGCCTATAGTTTAGCTTTAATTGTGCAATAGTATGTAGCTTGCTAATTCTATGATGTATATTACCTCACTTGCATTATTTTAGTTGTTGAAAATGTTAGAATTGTATTTTGGACCCTTAGCCTTTGTGCATGTTGATATATGTATGTCTATAAGGCCAAAATACTAGTGCAAGTATAGAAATAAAGATTTAAATATGTTTTAAATGATTTGAGTGAAATGTAACGACAAATTACCTCCCCCTTTGTCTTTAGTAAATTGAGGTTGAGGAGTGAATTTTTATTATATTTATGTTTCGATGCTTGTAACATATTGTACTGGTAGTCCTAAGTCTATTGGACATGATCTAGGTGTTAGAAAAGGCTTTTGATACTTGTTGAGGGTTTTAGACACCCATTTTGTGTAAAAGCATTGAAAAGTAGTCAAATTGTGTTTGGGTGTCCAACTTCTTAGTGTGACTTGTTTTGGAAGTGAAACCCATGCCATTAGCTAGTTCATGTAAAAAGCTTTCTGTAAACACCTAGATCATATCATTCGAACGTCGGATGGAGAATAGGGACGAGTCAAAAATTTTCCCAATTCTGCTATCAAATGACGGCAGAACCAGTGAAATTTCATGCAACACACCGCAGAGCATGGTGCCTGAGCCTCGACGCATTGCTCTGTATTTCAGTACATAATTTATTTTCAACCGTTTTTGATTTCTTTCACTCTTCTGAGGTATCTCATACTTCCAAAACTTATTTTTGCTGTGATATGAAAGGTTTTGATCAATTTTTTTAACTCGTTTCTATTTAAAAAACTTGAGATCCTTTCTTTTTGGATTAAACCTTGATAATTACTCTTCGGAGCTAATTCCTCGATTACTATGAGCTTTATTTGTTAAGTGTGTTTAGTGGAGTGAGAATGTTGCATAGATAGAACCAAGCAAACCTTGTTGACATGAAAAACCAGAAAGTAAAACAGAGCACATGGTAAACAGAAAAAAAACAAGAAGAAAAACATAGTTGGAGAGAGAAACTAAAATTTGAAATAAGAAACTGATAAGCACACATAGATTGGTAAAGAAATGCAGAACCAGAATAGGAACAAGGAACAAGGGACAAACCGGGTTTGGGAAAATAGGGGACGACACAAATATTTGTTCTAATGCCATGGATGCAAGGATCTTCGTCTCTATAATCTGACATTGTGTGATGGTTAGAAAGCAGGGTCCTATAGGTAAAAGGAGAAGAAGCAATTAGAGGTTGAAAGAAACACAAGAAGCAAGAATATAATATTAAGAGAGAGAGAGAGAGAGAGAGAGGATGAAATAGAATATGTGAGAGGTTGAGTATATAGAAGAGAGAGAGGAAGAAGAAAAGTGGCAATATTTATAGCAAAGGAGGGCACTCAGACCCAGTTGCTTTGGCTTGTACATTATCCTGTTATTGTGAGTGGTGCATCTCTCTAATAACTATAGAGTCATCGGTTGAAGAGCATAGATAGAGAAGAGCAGCCCAAGGGCAATCGTGTCGACTAGTGAGAAGGGTGTTTTGGTAAACACACACTAAAACTTATTTTAAAGTCCATGAGACTTCAAGGTTATTTATGCATTTCATGAGACCTTCTGGTGATTATAATTCTCCTGTAAAATCTCTATGTAATTTTCTCAAAACTAAATGACCTTCACCCTATGTGGATGATGAGCACAGGTCCGAATGCAGATCCTTTATTATATCTCCTGCACTTGGCTTGAATAGAAAGAAAAACAAGGGGGGGAAATTAAGAGAAGAAACATCCAATTTTAGAAGTTTTTTTTCATAATTTGTCTCTTTTCTATTTTTTTCACTTTTCTCTATTTACGCTCCTAATAAATTTTTTGTTTGAGTTAAATATTTATTTTTGCTTCAGAATTCAGAACTTAAGACTCCATTTAAAAAAAAAATCAAATATTAATTAATATTAGCTAAAAAATCTATATAATTTTTAGCCAAAAAAAAAACAGAGAAAAAGTGCCCAATGAAAAACGTAGCACATAAATTAATCGTGCGACTGTGCGAGTGAGTTTGACGCTGCTTCTCTGGCGCTTACCAACCAGCACCGGTCATCTCGGTCTTTAAAATAATCAAACCCTAACGCAATTTTTCTCTGCTGTCTTCCGCTGCTTTCTCATTTCTACTCTACTCACCTTATCTGCTCCTGCTTGTACTACCTCCACCCCCTGCAACTATGTGTAATCACACCTATTTCGTGGATTTTACTTTATTTTCATTCATGATTCTTCTTGCTCTCCTTTGATCTGATTTCCTTTTATTTTTGTTTTGGTTCGCATGAGATCAGGCAAGATCAGGATCGGAATCAATGGTAAGTGATATTTTACTACGACCACATCCTCCGGTTTCTTTTGCTGCTCGTTCGCTCAGATCGGATCTGTTGCCCTTTTTCCTGTGGTCAATTACTTTCAGAAGGGATCCGAGTTCTTCATTTCGTTTCTTTTTTTCGCTTCCAGGATTTGGAAGGATTGGTCGCTTGGTGGCGAGAGTGGCTCTGCAGAGAGACGATATTGAAGTCGCCGCTATCAATGACCCTTTTATTACTACTGACTACATGGTATAAACTACTGTTATCTATATTCATGTTCCGTCACCGCATCTTTGGAATTATAGCGGATCAGCTGTGCTTGGCTTTCTGATCGGATTTGAGTTATGTCTCTTTAAGCTTTTCCATAGATTTGATGCGCATTCACTTTAAGTTGGTAGTCTTAGTTGTCGACTTGTTCAAACATGTTTTGCGCTGTACGAAATACGAATACAATTCCGAACTTGGCCTACTATTTTTCTTTTACATTTATCTGAACTGGTTATCGGTGCATGGCAGACCTACATGTTCAAGTACGACAGTGTTCACGGGCAGTGGAAACATCACGATGTCAAGGTCAAGGACTCTAAAACCCTTCTTTTTGGTGACAAGCCAGTCACTGTGTTTTCACACAGGTATTGTTCCTGAAATTTTCTCATGGTTGTGCTTGTAATTGTCAATACGTAGTATTGAAGGTGAAGATATTAGCCATTGACCTTGTAACTTCGTGCATCAGGAACCCGGAAGAGATCCCATGGGCTGAGACTGGAGCTGAGTATATTGTTGAGTCCACCGGTGTCTTCACAGACAAGGAGAAGGCTGCTGCCCATTTGAAGGTTTGCCTTTGTGCGCTACCCCTTCTCATGACTTTATTCTTAGTCGTTTGCTTCTCTTAACGATCTCATATAGTCTGAAAACTTTCTTTTAAACGTCTGCGCAATAATATTGCTTTCACCGTTATCTTTTCATATAGAACATCTCTTGGGATGATTAGCACTGGGTCTTGTAGCTTAGCTATAAGCATGCCATAAAATGCTGTCTGAAATAAACTTTGCTTAGCATTTCTTCTTCGATGTTATGTTGTCATGGTTTTGTTTTCTGAGGGTTTGTGTGTAATAATAACGTGTCTGTTTTGTTTTGCTTGAGCCAGGGTGGTGCAAAGAAGGTTGTCATATCTGCCCCCAGTAAAGATGCTCCCATGTTTGTTGTGGGTGTTAATGAGCACGAATACAAGCCACAGCTTGATATTGTTTCTAATGCTAGCTGCACGACCAACTGCCTTGCTCCACTTGCGAAGGTTATCAGGCCTTCAGATAATTGCACTGTACTTGTGATGCTAAGTTGTTCTGTTCTGTTAATCTTTTTTGGTCAATTGTAGGTTATTCATGATAGGTTTGGCATTGTCGAGGGGCTAATGACCACTGTTCACTCCATCACTGGTGGGTATAATTAACTGTAACATCTAGTGTTTCTCATTTAAGTGTGTTAAGCGTAATTGTGACTTTGTGCTATATTTCTTCTCAGCTACCCAGAAGACTGTTGATGGGCCATCCAGTAAAGACTGGAGGGGTGGAAGAGCTGCCTCATTTAACATCATTCCCAGCAGCACTGGAGCTGCTAAGGTGAATAATTTGCATTTATCTATTACTGTTTCCTTTATCAGGTTTCCTTCACTAATACACTCTTTGCATCAAGGCTGTTGGGAAAGTGCTTCCTGCTTTGAATGGAAAATTGACTGGGATGGCATTCCGTGTTCCTACTGTGGATGTCTCTGTTGTTGATCTTACTGTACAACAACAACAACAACAACAACAAGCCTTTATCCCACTAGGTGGGGTCGGCTACATGGATTGCAAGACGCCATTGTACTCTATCATTTATTAAGCTTTTAGAAATATTATTAATTAAGAGATCACGTTCAACAACTTCCAAGAGTGTTCTCTTAGGCCTTCCTCTACTTCTCTTAATCGGACTTAAAGTTATATGTTCCACTCTTCTCACTGGTGCCTCCCTTGGTCTTCTTTGTACATGCCCAAACCATCTCAACCGATTTTCTACCATTTTTTCCTCAATAGGTGCCACCCTCACTTTTTCACGTATGTGCTCATTTCGAATTTTATCTTTACGTGTATGTCCGCACATCCATCGTAACATTCTCATCTCTGCTACTCCAACTTTATGCTCTTGCTGTCCCGTTAGAGCCCAGCATTCACTACTATATAACATTGCCGGTCTGATAGCAGTACGATAAAACTTTCCTTTAAGTTTATTAGGCACCTTACGGTCACAAATAACTCCTTTAGCTTTTCTCCAATTAAACCACCCAGCTTGAATTCTATGTGAAATATCTCCACTGATTTCGCCATCATTTTGAATAATGGCTCCCAAATATCTAAACTTTTCCACTTGAGGTATAATTTGATCTCCCAATTTCACTTCCAAATTATTTTCGAATAGTCCTTTACCAAATTTACAATATAAATATTCCGTCTTACTTCTACTCAGACGAAAACCTTTCGACTCCAATGTCCTCCTCCATAACTCAAGTTTGCAATTAACCTCTTCTCTTGTCTCTGCTATAAGAACTATATCATCCGCGAAGAGCATACATTTCGGGATTTCCTCTTGAATATGTTCCGTCAAAACATTTAAAATCAAGTTGAACAAATAAGGACTCAGAGATGATCCCTGATGTAGTCCAATCTTTATAGGAAAATCCTTTGTTTGACCACTAGGCGTTCTTATACTAGTTTTTACCCCCTCATACATATCTTGTATGGCTTTAATATAAGCAATCCGTACTCCCTTTTTTTCCAACGCTTTCCAAAGCACTTCTCTTGGTATACGGTCATAAGCTTTTTCCAAATCAATAAAAACCATGTGTAAATCTTTATCTTTACAACGATACTTTTCCATTAATCCCCTTAGTAGATAAATTGCCTCTGTAGTTGATCTACCTGGCATAAAACCAAATTGATTCTCAGAAATACTTGTCTCCAATCTCAACCTGTGCTCAATTACTTTCTCCCACAATTTCATTGTGTGGCTCATGAGTTTAATCCCTCTATAGTTAGTACAATTCTGAATATCTCCTTTATTTTTATAAATAGGAATTAATGTACTTCTCCTCCACTCATCAGGCATTTTCTTGGACCGTAAAATCACATTAAATAACTTAGTTAACCATCTCACCCCTTCTTCACCTAAACATTTCCACGCTTCGATAGATATACAATCAGGTCCGTTAGCTCTACCATTTGCCATTTTCTTAAGAGCTTCCTTTACCTCCTTATCACGTATTTTTCGATAGAATGACAAATTTTGTTCTCCTTCACCAGTTACTAAATCCTCCAAGTTACTAGATGAATCCTCTCTATCATTGAAAAGTTTAGAAAAATAAGTCTCCCATCTATTTTTAATTTCATCATCTGTAACTAAAATTCTTCCCTCTTCATCCTTAATACACCTTACCTGTTCTAGATCTCTTGATTTTCTTTCCCTACTCTTGGCAATCTTATAAATATTTTGCTCTCCTTCCTTCGTCTCAAGGTTCTTATAAAATTCTTCAAAAGTTTTGGAACGAGCTTCACCCACAGCTCTCTTAGTTTCCTTCTTAGCCATACGGTACCTCTTCCAATTTTCTTCATTGTTACACAAATGTATGGCTTTAAAACAGTTCTTCTTATACTTGATTTTGTCCTGTACACTATTATTCCACCACCAAGACTCCTTATCTCTCGGACCAGAACCTTTCGATTCTCCCAAAACTACTTTTGCAACCTCCCGTATCTTTTTAGCCATATCCTCCCATATGATGTTAGCACTTCCCTGAGAATCCCAAATTCCTTTATCCAAAAGATTTCGCTTGAAAATATCTTGCTTCTCACCTTTTAATTGCCACCACCTAATCTTTGGTGTTACTACTTGTCGACGTTTTTGGATTTTACTCATAATACACACATCAAGGACTAGGACCCTATGTTGTGTCGTTACAGCATCTCCAGGGATCACCTTACAATTTTTACAAAGTTTTCTATCTGTGTTCCTAACCAAAAGAAAATCAATCTGCGACCTTGAGGCTCCACTTTTGTAAGTGATGAGATGCTCATCTCTCTTCTTGAAACAAGTGTTGGCAATCTTAAAATCATACGCCAATGAGAAATCAAGAAGAGTTTGCCCTTCATTGTTTTGCTCTCCAAAACCAAAACCACCATGCACCCTCGCATACTGACCAGCTTCCCTCCCGACATGCCCATTAAAGTCTCCTCCAATAAAAATCTTTTCACTCTGTGGTATGTGTCGAATCAACCCCTCCAGATCCTCCCAAAATAATTCCTTAAGACTGGCTTCTGTCCCGACTTGCGGCGCATAAGCGCTAACAATATTAACAGTCTCACGTCCAATTATCATTTTTAAAGAAATAATTCTGTCTCCAATTCTGCTAACTTCTACAACGTTCTTCTTCCACTCATTATCTATAATGATGCCTACTCCATTGCGTGCACTTACTTTTCCTGTATACCAAAGTTTGAAACCTTGAATATCCTTAGCTCCTTCTCCACGCCATTTTGTTTCTTGCAAGCAAAGGATATTGATTTTCCTTTGAATCATAACCCCTACAACCTCTACAGATTTACAATTTAATGTCCCAACATTCCAAGTACCAAATCTAATTTTGCTCTTATGGACTAACTTCTTTAGCCGCGTGCGTCCAGAATGACGCGGTAGCCCTTGCTTATTTAACACTACATCCGGGCGCCGATGCAGCGGCTCTAACTCACTTATCACTGTACTCGAGCCATGCAGCGCGTTACTTACGGGCAACGACCTAGCATTAACATTATAACGTCTATTGTCCATGTTCATGATAGATTCAACAAATTTTTACATTGGCTGTTGATGGCCTAACACAACCCTCCTCCTTTACCCGGGCTTGGGACCGGCTATAAACATAGGCGGAGTTTGTTGTTGATCTTACTGTGAGGCTGGAAAAGCCGGCCTCCTACGACCAAATTAAAGCTGCCATCAAGTAAGATTTTATTCTCAAAGCGACTCTTATATTTAACTTTTATTTTATTGTTGAGGTTGGGAGGACTTGGATTCACCGAACTCTTCAATGTTAGCTGGAAGGCTTCTGGGATTGCTGTGCTTGTATCTTGTCTGATTCAATAGTACTGTCTTTCAGGGAGGAGTCCGAGGGCAAGTTGAAGGGAATCCTTGGTTACGTTGAAGAAGATGTGGTCTCCACTGACTTCGTTGGGGACAACAGGTGTGGATTATCATCTCATTGGAAGTTGTTAGATGCATCAACTTCCCTGCTTTGTCTTCTTCAGATCCACATATTCTCTTCTCCTATTTGTCCTTGGATCTTGGAGTTGTATGTTAATTCTTTCGATCTTCTCTTTATTTTTAAATGTTCCTTACTGCAGGTCAAGTATTTTCGATGCTAAGGCAGGTATTGCCTTGAATGAAAACTTCGTGAAGCTTGTTGCTTGGTATGACAACGAGTGGGGTTACAGGTAATTCGTCTTTCTTGCTTTCTTTCTCTGTTTCTTTTTGGCATATGATTTCTCACTATTGCGTGGTAGCAGCATCTTTAAAGGTTATTGTCAGGGTTTAAGGGGCGTGTTTTATCTGGAAAATCACCAATCCAATTTATATCCAATTATAAGATGTAGATAGCTAATGCTTGCTTTGTCTGTAATGCTGCAGCACACGCGTTGTTGACTTGATTGCTCACATGGCTAAAACTCATTAAGACGGTACTGCAAGTAAGCCTTTGCCGCGTTTCACCGAGCTTCCTGTCATGACGGAAATTGAGAGTTCCGAATAAATGGTTTCCTCCTGCATCCCTGGCGTTGAAGTGTTAGTTCCTTAGGACTTTATTGTTCTGATTGCCTCTCTTGAGGAGGAAATGGAGTTTCTGAATTTTTATACCTGTTATGAATGATATCAGTCATCAGACGGCCTTCGTCCCTCCTTTTCCGATCATTTTGTTTCTTTCATATTATGGCTGCTTAGCGCCGTAGCCTTTTTAAAGAATTTAACTATAAATTTCTATGTCGTTTGATATATCGAATATATTGGTAGCTATAAACTTTGGGTCGATACGGAGCGAGGCTGAATTGTTTCAGTTCCCAATTTCCGAGTTTGCGACCGTACAATTACTAGACTAGCAATTTTGCAGTTGTATCGTATCACCATTCCGCACTGGCTAGTGGTGTTTAAGCGAACTTCTCATAGTAATAAACTAGCCTTTTTCCAGTTGTATCATCCCTTGCTGGCCGGTGGTGTTTATGCCGAAACATAGTTTTCAGGATTGATTATTGCTAATATTATGATAATTTGAAGCGTCAAAATGAATCGTGCATTCGAGCATTATAATGCACTTGAAAGAGAGAATCACATTCCAAACTCGGATCAAATCTAATCTTTGTCTATGCCACTTTTGCTTCGGTGGCATCCCTTGTTCTTTGGATGATTGCATTTGTAACATGTTTTCTTCTTATCTAAGCATAATATTATTTTATTTGTAACTTTATTTTTGAAAATTATATAAAAAAAATTTTGGTGCATGCTGAAATGTGATGCAAGAGAATTCAAAAATGATATTCATTTCTTGATTGTGTTAACCATATGGTTTTAGATATATGATTTGATTCTAGTCTCCTTGTGCAGTTTTTTTGTGGCCTAATATTAAAAAGAAAATTGTATTCATTCTTAACATTGGTTACATACAAATTGCATCTAAAATTCTCAAATTATATTAAAACTCTTGAATGAAAAACCATGTTTGTTTATGCTTGCAAAAGCATTCGGGTTGAGAAGGACCTTTTTAACCACACGATAGATAGTTTGAAAAGCATAAATGTCAAGAAATTTGAGTAACATGATAAACAAATAAGAAGTCAAATGCGGTGCAATAAATTCATTTAGCTTGTGTGTGGATGAATGAGTTGTGTTCTTTTGTCAGATTTAATTAAACTCAGAATCCGACATTGTCTCAATTGATTTCAAATTTTCGGGTAAAAAAAATAAAAACTTGACCTCAATTTTTGATGTTGAGAGGATGAAACGATCTTACTCTCTCAAGTCTCCATTAATACAAGGAACTTCCTCATGGTCTTTATTACAAAATCTTTTGTTTTAAACGTTAATTTTTTTTAACAAAATTGTCCTTACTTTATATTCCCCAATTAACTAAACGACTTTCTCTAATTAATAAACTTTATTTAAGATCATTTTGAAATTTTAAAATGTCTAACTAACTAGTATCTTAGTGCTACAGTACTGGATCATCATCAGAGAACACATTATTCCCTCCTGCTTTGTAGCTGTGGTGCCGAATACCGATGTGTCGGTGTTGAAGCACCAGTGAACATTCCTTGAGTAATTCTAAACTCACTCTCTTAAACTTATTTCCTGAAAATTTTAAATGAAAATAAATAGTGAAAGATGCATACTTAAAATCAGTCCAATTTTTTTTTCTTAATTTTTCACAATATCAGACAATCATTCATGCAAGTGATAAACTCACTTCTTGTTTGTTTGTTCGTTTTTGTTTAATCTTCAAAACATCTCACTGTGATTATCACTCCCAAATTCTCTTGCAATATATATATATATATATATTAACTTGCATTGAAGGTTATCAGACTATTCGAGCAAGTTATTGGCCGGAACTGTAAAAGAACGATAGGGAAGCTAAGATTAATCGTATTGGAGGATCACAATTTAGCAATATTCATAACTCGATATATATTTATCTTTTGAAATGCTTTTTTAGTGTAGTTTTATCTTGTAATCTGGTTCATTAATGACTAGTAACAATACCCCCCCCCACACACACACACATCATAAATTAATAATTTTTTTGGTTTGGAAAAGGTTTTTTCTGAATAGAAACCAAAATGTGGATGCATCAGCATAAAATATAAATTAAATGTATAAATAACATATGAAAAATGTGTCTCATTACAAATTTTTATGTAATGTATAAAAAAAGAAATTTATCTAGTTTAAATTTCATTCGTGTAGTGAGCATTTGGTACACATACTAAAACGAAATAGAATAAAAATTTAAGTTTGAAGATGAATCACACATCTCACATATCTCAATTTTTTATATAAAAAAAACTATTTCCGCCCCTAATGAGACTATTCCCCGTGAATTTTTCGTTCATGGTTTTACACTTTTATTGGAATAATATAATATCGATATGTCATTGAGGAGAAGAAAAAAGCTATGTACAGAGATGTATATGAATGAGTTTCTCACAAAACAATCCAGGATCAGGAAGTGAATGTTATTCTTGGCAAATGTATGTCATGAGTTTAATTCCTCTTGGTATAACAAAAATAAATTTACGTAAAAACAACATACAAATTAAATAAACTAAAAGGCTAGTTCTTCTGGCGATTTAAGATCGTGCTTCCAACATGTGTCTGTATGAAGAAATAAACCAAAAAATGAGACTGATGAAATGAATATAGTAACATGATTGATGTCTTGGTTCACTCCATCATGATTCTGAATTCTTCAAAGCTAAGGACGCCATCGCCGTTCAAATCAAACCTATCAATCATGAGTTTACATTCTTCAATGGACTTGGATTCTCCCAAGTTGCTAAGCATCCTCTTCAAGCTCTTAGGGGTTATGAACCCAACCCCTTCTGGATCATACATCTTAAAAGCTTCTCTTAGATCTTCCAACTTCTCTTCCTCTCCCACTCTTTCCATTAATCCCACCAAATCCTCCAAACTCAACAGCCCATCTCCGTCCGAATCCAACGCCTTGATCGCCGTCTCTGCTTCCTTCAACAATATCTCTCCCCCCACCTTTCCCAGCCGCCGCCGGAGCTCCGCCGCTGACACCTTCCCGTCTCCGTCTTCGTCCAAATATCTCACTACACTCTCCAGTCCTTGGTCCCTCATATTAATATGATAGACTAACAGCACAAAATCGAAAGTACAATCTTGAATTGTTCTTCTGGAATTGAGAGAGTAATCAAACCCGGAAATTTGTGTTGTAGCGTTGGTGAAGAGGTATGGAATGTTTGGTGGTGATGGGCCTTTTATAGTTGAGGTTATCGACTGTGCGTGACGTGTTTAAGGATGTCTAGAAGATGCTATGCGAGTTCAAGGACAAGCATGATAAGGAAACATTGGACTTCTCAGAATGCCACTTGTGTTTGTGTTGGGAATAATGAAAATTTTAATTAAGAAGAAGAAGAATATGGGTAACGCGTGCGAACCAGGACGGTTGGAACTGTGTAAAACGAAAATAACGGTGAGAGCACACAGTGTCGGCGAAATGCTAGCGTGTAAATGAACCATATTCATTGGGCGGCTTCGCTGTCAATGTGTAGTTAATCCATGTGATGATGGTCTTTTTGTTTGTAGTAATTGATTATGTCTTCCTTGACTTTAATAATAACTACGTGGACACGTGGCATGATTATTATATGGCCACTTGGTCAGGGGATTAGCTTGCAAGTGGCAATGAAGGGGGGAAAAAGTGTCAGCTTCATTGCAAAAGGTCTGTCTTCGCAAAAGATGGGGTCAGCGGCGGTGGGGATCAATCATGGTTTGGCAAAATAACTTGCTTTTTTAGCATTTTGTTTACTGGAACAAGAAAGGAGGAGGAGAAGAATGGCTGAAATATAAAATAGGATAACAATTAAGTTTTAAGAGAGAAAATTAATAATAATTAAGTTTTTGATAACTTAAAAAAAATAATTGTAAATATGATATTTAAAATAGTTAGAAATTTAAAGTTTCAATTGTAAATATGATATTTAAATTTTAAATATAATAATTAGTTTATAATTCAAATTCTTATTTGTAACTATTTAAATTGATATTTACAAAAAAATTTATTGAGAATCTAATTGTAATTAATTCATCCTTTTGAAACTTTATTATCATTTTTCCTATAAAATATTGCATTGGCAATGTAATGTCTTCAGAGCTGCGCATGATATCTTCCATGCGTGAAATTAAAACCGTTTAACTTGGTACCTATGCTTGTGAGGAAGGTTTCAAACGAAATTGGATTTGCTGTAGGGGGTGGTCACAACCCATTTTAGTAGGGTGAACCTGATCCAATTCAGTCATATTTAGCCAAATCTTTTGATTTAAAGAAAAAAAACAAGAAAAATTACATTCAAGAACTATTCCAATAAATTAATGGCAGACAAGAAATAATAATAAGTTTTATTTAAAAATAAATAAATTTTCATTCTCATTTTAACAATAATTTATTTTGTATTAGCAATGGTGGAAGGAGGTGAGACCAGCAGAGGCCACAGCTCTCTTCAATTTTTTAATTTTTTTATATTATATAAGTATTACATACTTCTAGCTCTCCAAAATTTATGAAAATTTTTATAATATATATATATATATATATTTTAATTTTAGCTCCTTTTATTCTTAAATTTTGGCTCAGTGTATTGGTCTTTGTCTATGAGTAATTTACTTGAGTGGTCATTAGTTATGATTCTCCCTTCACAAAATTATATGAAATTTTTAATTTTTACAGAAAAATTCATTTTAAAAGAGATTATATCAAGTTTTTTAAAAAAAAAATTGTCAAAAAATTATAAGGTACTTTTTATAAAAAAAATTGAGAAATTACAAGCAATTTTTAAAAATTTGTGAAAAAATTATGAGGGTCAAGTTTATAGTTAATTTCCTTTACTGTTTTATCTTACACAATCTTTTTTCTAAAATTTTATAACTCCAATTATCAAAAGTACTCACTGACCCTTATAATCTTCTCTTCATTAGGGAGGGAGAGAAGAGTGGGGACCCAACAAAAAAAAAAAAAAATCGTATCTTCTCAATTTGGATCTATAACTTTGATTTGATCAAAATCTAATATCTAAATTTTAATTCATTATAATTTTGTTTCTACAATTTTAATAACTTAAAATATTAGTCTTTAAATTTTAAGAAGGGTTAAATAGTAATTTGACTTCCAAACAATTGGTAATTTTTTGTAATTTTTTTATCTTATTCTTTCATTTTTTAGTCAATTAATGATCAAAATTAATTTTTGTTAACAATTGAAGTTATATTGCACCATTTTCAAAAGTTGAAAAGAAACATTATAAAAAAAATAAGTTTAAAATTTTAGACCCTTCTAAACTTATAATTTATGAGCTAAATTATCATTTAACCCTTTTAAAAATAACTTTAGTCCTTCTATTTTTTTAAAGATAAGAATCAATATTTTATTTTTTTTATTGTTATAAACATTCTTTTATTAAAGGTAATTCTATTTAAGACACTATCGAGTATAAAATGTAAGTATTTCTTCTAACAAAAATTGCAATCTTCATTTAACATGTGAGAGGTACCTTACTTTGTAGGTCATTTCATATTCATTATTTTCCATTTCATTGATAAATGACTTTATTAATAAAATAAAAAAATTAAATGATTATTGTTAAACAATTGTAAAATTAAGGAATGAAGTTGTTAATGGACTAAAAATGATAATTAAGAAAAGGTAAAGGTACAAATTTATTCTACAACTTTTTTTCAGAGGCGCTTGGTATCCTGAATTTTTTCTAGGAGCAATGTTGCCCTGAAACTTTATAAAATGGTGTAATATTGCCTTGTCATTAGAGTTGGCTGCTTATTGATCGTTTTTGTCTGAATGAACTTGCCACAGGCATTTTTTTTAAAGTTAAAAAATGATAAAAGTGTAAATTTACCCTGAAACTTTTCCTTTAGGAACGTCTGGTATTCTCAAATTTTTTTGGAAAGAAATGTTGCCCTAAAACTCTCCAAAAATGCATAATGTTACCCTGCTATCAAAATTGACCATTTTATTTAATTTCACTCATGGTGTGGTAGCCACATGGCATTTTTTAAAAATTAAAAAAATATTGCCCCCTCTCTTCTTGTGTCTAAATTGTATATCACTCTCCTTTTGTAATTAGTCATTTTTCTCGTCTTCATTCCTCCCTCCTCCACCTTCAACATTTGCAAGAGAAGAGTTATATGAAAAGCACCATAAGTGTCGCCCATTGAGTTGTTACTTCTCCCACGTTAGTCAATTTAAGATGTTAATTTTTTTGTTCTTGTTTTTTTTAGATATTTTGTGTTGTTTTTAAATTGTTGAGTTTTTGAATTATATTCTTTATTTTCTTCTTCTTTACCCCTTATTTTTTATTATTTTTTTATTTTGAAAATTTAAGTTCAATTTTATTTCTTAATTGTTTTTTATGTCAAAAATCTGAATTTGATTTTTTATTTTAATGTTCTAAGTTATTTTACAATTTTAGTGTTGTAAATAAATGAAAACAAAGCATAGCTCTTTTTATTTTTTAAAAATGTCAAGTGATAAGATAACATTGCACTTTTTTGAAGAATTTCAAAACAACATTGCTCCCAAAAAAAATTAAGATAACATTACACTTTTTTAGAGAATTTCAAAACAACATTACTCCCAAAAAAAATTATACATACTAGATGCTCCTAAAAGATACTAGAAAAATTTACATCTTTATCATTTTTTTAATTTTTAAAAATGCCATATGGCAAATCCAGTGAGACAAAACAGTCAATAAACAATCAATTCTAACGAATGGGCAACAATGCATTGTTTTGAAAAGTTTAGAACAACATTGCTCTGAAAAAAAAAAATTCAAGATACTAGACACTCTTAAAAGAAAAGTTTCTCAAGATAAATTTACACCTTAAAAAAATAAAACTTTCTCCTTTTTTGTTTTGGGAAGGAGGGGGGCACAAATGAGAGATGTGCAAGGGGGATCGGAAGATTTGGAGTCAGCAAATAAAAACATTAAATTTCTGTCAAATTCCAAACATAAAACAATAACGAAGTTTCATGCTATTGAATACAAGACAAAGTAAAAGATGCTTGAAATAATTGACATCCATGAGTAACTTGCATTACGCTCCAGTTGCCTCCACCATTTCTTGTTCCACTGTACTTGGAGTGACAGGGTAGTAGTGGTAATGTAGTTCCCCAACATCATCACCGGACAATTTCTTCCACCCATCAGGTCCCACGTGATAAACTAAAATCAAATGCAAGTCACTGGTCAGTGAGATTGATTCATTGTTATACATCTAAATTAGTTGGTGGATAACAGTCAGCGATGAACCATCATGCTATTATGTAAAACGGAATTAAAACAGGCAGCATGAGCCCTGCGGATTTCAAAGATCACTACTTCCAGTCACCAGTTTATAAGAATTAAGAGAGGTAAAACATGAGCTGTTTGCAATGCCTGCCTGAAGGACGCATGTGCACGTATAAATCCCATTTTTTGCCGGGGATTTTGAAGAAGGGAAGAATAAATTGAAAGGAAAGCATTTATATCATTGAAGGTGGATCAAAAGGAAGAGAGAGAGGAAATACCGCTAGCAACTCCACCACTAGCCCCGTCACGAAATGTTGCATGATAAATTGCTCGTCGGGCCAATTCAGCAGCTTCATCAACTGACATGTCGTAGCGGTACCTAGTAATGCAAGGAAAACGTTGGCAAATTCAACGATAGTGCTATAATTGAAGGATAGTTCAGAAGAAAAGCTTAACTAACCCGCTGTCCAATACACCATAAGCATATGGTGACCCAGATCCAACAGAGAAACGCGTGCCTTTCAATCTTCCCCCTTCACTATCAACATAATACAAACCAGGACCCTGAAAAGTGATATTCCCTTGTCAGACAATTGAATTAGAAGGGCCGAACCGATTTAGTAATTAGAACAGGGACCAGGGCCATGAAAAGTGATGTTCCCTGGTCACATAATAGAATTATCAGGGCAAAACCTGTTTAGTAACTAGAAAAAGTGACTTACCGTCTCATCCCATCCAGCAATCATGGTTCCAACAGATAACCCCATTCCACGGTAGGAGTATAAAATATTTGCAAGTAGTTTCGAGGCTCCTGTAACTGAGATCCTTCGCTTATTTGCCAATTCATGCAGCCGGCACTAAAAATAAAATGATTGAATTAGGGAAACTAATTATGATTTATGACCTCATTAGTACAAAAGGAAATCCCATCCTGGAATCCCAAGACATGAAAGCTAGCTAAAAAGATGCAAAGGCTAAGCTCATTAAAATAAGAAGAATCGTGCAGCTCATACGTATATTGCTTTTTATCACTTTCAACCAAAATTTTGCTTCAATACTCTTCTTATGGATTCAAACAACGAGTACTCAAAAGCCAAATGCAATTGTGTGTACAGAAAGTACTGACGACCCAAAACATGACTAATGGGGACTTCTACAGCACGCTAAATATTCACCAAGACATCAACACCAACAAGAACATAACCCATTAAGGAAGAAAAAGAAGGTAACAGGAAAGAACAGAAAAGAAATTTAAATACTCCCCCCTGGTCAGTTAACCCTGTTCTAGCAGCATCAATTTTTTCTCTTTTTCGGCAAACATCAATCATCTTGATTATGGCTCACTGTCCTTGTTAGAACCATAAAACAATACACATTAACCATTTCTTTTTTTTAATTAAATTAATTTAAATAACTAAATAAGAAATCCATCAGTTTAAGATATGCTATCAACAAGTCATCTATGTAATAAAAATGCGTACCTTACATCATTATTTTAATTAAAAAGATAATGAGTATTGCAAAGCAATTGAAGACAATTTCTCAAAGCTTATATCACCACAATCCATCCAACTACAAAAGCAATTTTGGAACGGAGTAAGGGTAGCCTATTAAAATTGAGGTAGAATGTTTTACCCTGTGCCCCATACTTGGGAGAAACTGAATAAAATAAGGGCATGACATTATTTAGTTTCTAAATAACATAATTGTCCTCCTAAAAGGGTCATAGGGATGTTATGTATAGATTTGAGATTTACTGACATTAATTTTCTTCCCTTCAACTCCTTCAACCATTGTCATTCCCAAACTGCAGGTAAGACTTTCTCTACATTTCATTCCCTTTTCAAATGTAAGATTCCCAACAATAATCAAACCAGAACATATTTTATTCCACTTGCTTCCTATTTATTGCCTTAGCAGCAGCGCTGACAAATAATTCTGAGTGAATGACTATAGTGCAAAAGAAGTTCAATCATGAAAGTTACAATTATCATGGTAACAACTAACAACGACAGCAAAGTAACCAAGGAAAAGCACTATTTGGGATACCAGGGTGCAGGTACTTAAGTGGGAAACTGGGCAAACAAAGGGCAAGACAGACAAAACGTTTGATTAAGATTGTAAGATTGCATACATTACCTTGATCCCAAGATTTCTGTGCCAAAATTGGCAGTCTGCAGCTCCTCCAGCCATTGTGCCAAGCATATATGGATTAATTTCAATAATTTTCTTCACGGATTGAGATGCTGCACATTGGTGACAGTTAACAAATAATAACTTATTACAATCCAATTAGCTGAAACACAAATGTGAAAATATGAACGAAAATAATTTTCACCAATGGACTCATAAATAGAGTGAGGATGAGATTGGAGCTCAGTACTTACAAATATAACCTCCCATACTAGCCCGAGAATCCGCAGCTACCATGACCCCCTCCTTAAATATAAAAGCAAGAGTGGTGGTACCCTTGGCGGGCTTCACCATCTGAATAGCTTCTTTCAAAAAGCCGTCAAACTAACACAAGAAATAAATAGAACTTAATAAAAAAGCCTGATGATTCAAGATGTTGCCAAATGTATAAATAGAATCTCTTTCCTTTGACTATAACCTCTGCGAATCAATGGCAACCGTTTTACAATGAAGAATTAAAAAACGGACTACTCAAATTTCAAGCTAATAAGCAAGTACTCACATCAGTTGAATTCGGAAGCTCAAATGCTGGAGCAGGTGAAAAGTCTCCAGCAGTGCCATCGAAGGGTTCAATTTGAGTAGAAAACGATTCAAGGCCAATAGTATCAAGCTTCATGATTAAAAACCTAACCAAGAAAAGAGGAAATCGTGTCGTTTTCGTAAATCATTTTAGAAAATGAAGTGAGGAAGAAATGAAATAATGATATCTTCACAACCCCCATAGCGTATAAACTTGGCGTACCGGTTAGAAAGTTGTGACGAGAGATCTGGGTGTGTAGTAGAGTTTGATCGAAGCGCAGCGAGAAAGGGAGAAAACACAGACCGATTTTGATTGTGTTGGCTTGAAGGGAAAGGCAGGAGGGGCCTATTGGGGTTTTCACATGTTCTCGCTTCAGATCATAAATACTTTCATGGGCCAGCAAGGAATACACTTCTTTCGAAGCAATGCTGGGCCACGACTGTTTTTATTTGGCGCAAAATATGGGCTAAGTTCAGTCACTGTAAACTAAACAATTGCCAACATGCAGTGGCCCATCAAATTTGAAATTTCCTGCAGATAAAAACTGGGTAATTGAAGAATCAGATAAAATTTGCCAATCATGCCCAAAATGAAAATAAGTAAATTAAAAACCATTGTTGTTTGTTAGTAAAGTATATAATATAATAATATTTCAATAGGGATTTAAAAAAAAAACAAAAGTGAGGAGACTGGTGCTTGTCACGAATGTATGTCAACTGAAAAAGGAAGAGAAACAATCAGATGTCAAAAACCAAAAAAACAAAAAAACAAAAAATTGGCAACGTCGCTAGAGTATGAATGTTGTTTTTGCAAATGCAATCATTTATCATTTTTTTGGCCAAAAATGCAATAATTTATTGAAAACATTTCAAACATTGGCCGATCACCATTTTTTTTCCAAGATAGGCCAATGACGTTTGCTGTATCAAGAATTCGTGAATATATTCAAAATTTTATCAAAAAAAATTAAAAACGAATTTTAATCAGGGCGACGCTTCAAATTATGTAATCGAATCAATTTTTTTTTTCCCAACCTAATTGAATCAAATGTTACTTTTATTTTATATAATTTTTAAAGACAGATATGTCACTCATTTTAGCTCACTTGAGTTTTTAACAAAATCTACGCATTTACAATATGGAACTTGATTTTCTTTCTCCTTTTCACTTCAAAAATAGCCATTTCCTGTCTTTCTTTGTTATAAACAAGCCAATCACATTCAAGAAATGACGAAGATATCATCAGCTGGACCCAATGTCACACAACACTCCTGCATTCAGTAATCAGAATCAGAATTGTTATAAAAAAAAAAAAAAATCAGTCGTGCTCCATCGGAGTGCGAGCTTACATTTCTATAGTTGCTCCGCTTGCAAATTAATAAATTTAATTTAATTATGACAAATTAAGATGTTAATTTAAGGAGAGCAACACGTCCCCTGGAAACAAAGATTCTCCCTCTAAAGCTTCAGGTATTGGATCTTTCTTCATAGTGGTGGGATGATTCATTCAAGCCTCTGTAAATGCCTCAGGGGACAAAGCATCTTCAACGCCACACAAGAATCGTGCAACTGAAGTCGGTGATTATCTTGTTGAGCACCACTCTTAACGTTTTCAATCTTACTTCAATATATTATTGTTCACATTTCCCACTCATTTTGCTGCTAGCGCCTCGTTATCCGACAATATCCTGTCCATGTCCTCCGTATATGGCCAGCTTTTCTTGCTTGCCTTCCCATTCTTGATCTCCTGCTCTCACAAGAAGATATGTTAATAATCGGCATATTAGAGAAAGAAATCTCATATCTAGTAATTAGAAAGTAGATCATGAATGTGTGTGTGAGTGTGTGTGTAAATAAAGCTTGAAACATGTTTTAATCAAGTGACTTAAGCTATTTTAGTGTAATAGAGAATCCCTAAGCATGTTTAATATAAAGAGTTCAGCGTGGAGGGATAAAAGAGTGTCTTCTTCCTTGTTATATGCTTTTTGGGATAGTATCAGCTAATTCTAAAGAAAATTGCTGAAACAAACCTCATATTTTTGTATCAAAGAAGTCCACAGAGATTTACATTGCCCTGGACTTCTGTGGATACCATCAGCCAACAACTTTTGAGATATCTCTTCCCAGAGAACCATTCTTCCCTTCACAACTTGGAATCTCTCGTGAAGCTCCCCACGCATAACAATCAGCTTCTTCACTTCCTCGGGTTTCCATTTATTTCTCTTCGCTGTTTTTGAAGGCATGGGTTCAGACTTGGTTTCTCCAGAGTCTTCAGAATCATCTTTCATCAGCTGGGAATCTTGCTGCTTCCGTGGAATATAACCGTTGTTAGCTTTGATCGACTTTTCAGCGGTTGAAGGTGTGATGAATGATTTCCAAAATCCGTCAGAATCCTCTGAATCAGGGAAATCACCCTCAGCTCCACTAGAGGTAGGGGAATCTTCCTCAGGTAGGAGTCCTTCAACATCAGTGCCATCATCTAACACCAATTACAAAAACAAGGGTAAGAATGATATTACTTTTCTTTCACCAAGGGAAATGAGTTAAGAGTTTGATCCTTGACACCTCCACCGGTCTAATTAAATTAAATTCCACAACAAAATATAGAGGATATGTGCCTTGGCCACGCTTTAAGTTCAAAGGGCTTTCATCTGTGCAACCACAAAACTTCCTACGTCTCAAACACTAAGACTGAGTAAATGCAAGAATCTGAGAAACTCAATTGAAGTGCCAAGAGAATTTTTATATTGGCAAAAAGATGTGGCTGTGTTTCCTTGATTAGACAAACAGTGAGATCAAGCAGCATAACAAGAAAGAAAGCCAACTCGAAAGTATGCATTTAACAGCAGATTTGTATAGAACAGACACATGCATAAGCACAAAAGGTGCAGAAACTGGACCTCACCAATTCCATATTCATTAATATTCATCTTACCTCCTTTTATTGGCATTTTACTGGACTTCTTTTCCTCTTTACGTCCATCCACAGCTTTTCTCAATGATGGTAATCCAAGACCCGAATGAGATTTTCCTGACAACCGTACTTTTACCTCATCAGCAAGAACAGCTGCAGGGTTTTCTGTAGCAATAGCTATAACTTCTGGTCTTTTGCCACTATACTTCCTCACCAACTTCCTCAATACCTCAGATACAATTCTTTCCATGTGAGCCAATGGACAGCTTACCGGGCAGCTTGAAAGTGCAGCATGAGCAGCTTTATGAAGCGCATCAAGCAGCTTTCCTTTGTCAAGCCATAGGCATCTAGTGGTAATTCTTATCTTCCCTTTCAAGGTGCTTTCAGCATGACTTTCACTATTTTGAGGGCGAAATATTTCCATGCTACAGAAGAAAAATATTAGGATGTCACTACTAAATCTAGTCATTCCAATATCTGACTTAAGGACTACAAATATCTACCTGACCACGATAATTCCATCTAAAGCAACTCTCAATCTTTCATCAATAAAGAGTTCACTAGATGTACCAAATGCTTTGTCCCCATCACTGTACTTCAACTGCAGCATGTTAAGAGAGGGAAAGGACTTAGAAGTTATCAAATGATTTCAGCAAAAGGCCAAGAAAATGCTTTGGTCCTGAACCTGTAAGTTCTCTTTTCCAAGGGAAACAAAACCATTGGAAAGGACTTTTCTATTTCTTAAGTGTGAAACGCCAAGCATCTCTCCGTTCTTAATAACCTGGAACACAAATCACATCAGTTCCTTCAAATGCTGACTGATCATATGATATTTGATGTAACCCTATTCATTATCAGTCACTAGTTACTTATCTAATAACAGCATCTGATAAGGAAACAATGACAATGACTCACAGCAGTGTGTCGAATGCCAGTTGACTTTCCAAGTAATTCGTGCTCCTTCAGGAACAAGAGTTCTCCATGTATGGGAAGAAAGTGTTGTGGTTTCACTATTCTAAGCACTTCCTCCTGCAGAAATATAATTTTATACTTAATCATAAACCATATCAATGAGAGCTTCATACCACAACAACAACAACAATGAACTTACCAATTCTCCACGATACGCATGACCAGACGTGTGCAGCCCCTCATTCTTCCCCATTACTATTGATGATCCAATCTCTGCTATGCGGTTCATCATTTTCATCACACGAGACTCATTGCCAGGGATAACCTAGCAGCATGATAAAGAAACAGAAGAAAATTTTCACAACATAAAATTGTCAAAAATGCCTAAGCATCAAGTCATGCATAAAAATCAAACGTTGTTGTTTCTCACTTAAAGTAGATTGAAAGTAAAAATAGTATATGTTAAGTTCACAGCCCGGCATAATTCCACTAGCAGAAGGATTATGCATTTAAATTTAAACTATACACAAAATCAGAATTTTCAGACAATCTTAAATCCAAATGCCTAGTGGTTTATCTTGTTACCATACCTTAGCTGAATACAAAATTATATCTTCCTTGGTCAGTTTGAAAGAATGACCACCACCATATGATGCAAGATTCAAGGCAGCACGAGGTTCTGCCTGACACAATACCATATATTTTGTCATATGCCAATAACTTGTTCAATATGTGCAGTCCGTGGAATTAGCAAGTCTTCAGGGGACCTTGAAAGTAGGTTACCTGAGATCCAGTTGTTACAATCAGCAAATCCTTAGGAGCATAAGCATCAATATCCTCCACTTTCACCTATTTGAAGTTAAAATTAACAAAAACAAGAGCATCAAACATGAATCTGCTAGACAGAAGCTCTTAGAAATGAAAGGATAAAGATGAACGCATGCTATATAACAAAATACAAAATTTAGACAAATAAAAGGTGATCGGACAGATGACTATCAAGGTAACTAACAAATCAAACAAGTAATTAACTAATTATGCAAATAACATGAAAAACAAATCAGGTAAATCTGCAGTTAGCTAAATAATAATTGGCTCCTAAATTTTATCAAAGTCATAAATAAACATAACTGTGAAATTCTATCAACCATGTAGAGAAAGTGTTAACAGCCAAGTCCGACAGGCTAGCCCAAACCCGCTTGAAACAAGTTAAGACCAAATTTAACTATATGGGCCTTTTTAAGAAGGTAAAATACCTTAAGCCCGATCCGAATTGAACCCTGGCCCAAATAAGCCTGACGGCTAGAATTTTTAGCTCTGTGTATATAGGATCGGTAATTTTGGCCAAGCCCAACCCGAACCCAGCTGAAAAAGTTAGGGCTGGGCTTGACTATATGGGTCTTTTTAAGAGGGTAAGATACTTTAAGTTCGATCCAAATAAACCCGGCCAACCTGAATTACCGGCTCTACTAAGAACACGAGTTTTTGGTTGAGTTTTCAATATCTAACAGCATTAGTGACACGAACAATCCTTGCATATAGGCAGAGAAATTAGAAATCCTTATTCTATTAGGGGTCTTGTTTGATTCTACATTGTTTCCTTTTTGCACCATTGTAAGGAATGTACTTTCCTCTCTCTTTTCTTCTCTATAATTAAGTGTATTTTTCAATAAAGAAAAATGAAAAATGTGAAATATCAAATATGGCTAATTGTCATCTTCAAGAAATTTGTTCTAACCACTATTAAATCATATCACATGCTGAGTTCAGTGCTAGACTTTTCTAAACAACAAGATTTTTCCAAACCCTGGCTGGAAATTTTTTTCAGCCTACTTTGAGGCAGAATTTAAGAAATAACTCTTCTAATGCTTATTACCAGGGTGGATGGATCGAACGGTGCTTTTCCATCCTTCCAAGCTGCATCTAGATATGTCCGTAAAGACATGCCAACAAATACCTGATATAATTGCAATAAACATCATTAAACCCAATCATTTTAAACAGGAAAATCATTTGCAATTAGCAGGGGTAGAACATACCATTTTTCTACCAGTTAAATCAGCTGCAGCTTTCACACTTCCAATACGATGGATATTTGATGCAAACTGGGTTGTAATAACCCTTCCTTTAGCAGCAGAAATATGCCTTAACAGTGCATCTGCCACGTTAGACTCACTAGCTGTTCTTCCAGGTGAAAGTATGTTTGTTGAATCACTCATCATCTGGGAAGTAATGCCCAAAAGCAGTGTTTGATCATATATTTCATTAAGAATTAGGAAACAGAACAGGCAAATGCTATATACTGAAATTGAACAGACTTAAACACTCACTTTGTGTTGGGAAACCATGACTAGCTGTCTCTAAATCTCATATCAAAATTGAATAGAGAATAACAAAAAAGGCACTATTAAACTTCCTAACAATAAAGATGCAAATAAGATACAAACACAGCTTGGTGAGAAGAGCATCCACTGATTAAGACTTTGGGACAATCACCGATTTAGTGGCTTGGGGTTTTTCTAGTTCAAAAGGAATGCCCATATCTTAAATATCTCATAGGGACCAATGATTCTATATCACTTATAATAAGAAGAGGCCAAGGATAGAGGAGAGTAGCGGGAAAGTGGAGAAAACAGTTGAGGGCAACATAGCAGGGTAGGGAAATTACCTCATAGTCCATGATCATGTAGATAGGAGTAGTTATTCAGAAGTTTTATCCTGTTCAGTTTCTGACATGTTTAGGTAGTTATGTAATGCATCTACCTATGAATAGCAGTAGTGATGATGCTGCAGGTGTCATATGCTTTGAATTACCTTTGTACTGGAGATTCTCCCCTGGTCTATCAAAGAAAGCAATGTTTTCAGACTGTCATTGTTTTCTTTGGTAGAATTTCCACTTAAATCCTCTTTAAACGTCAGTATCTACCAATATCTTGGCCTTTAAACATGTAATGAGAAAGAACTGTCTGCATGACTACCCTTTGGAACGTGGCCAATGGGTTTTTTAAGGGAATCTTCATTTAGATAATGCAACAAGATTGGACAGCTCTGCTACACTTACTAGCATTTCAGGGATTTTGTTACCATGATATGCTTTTATTTTGTACCTTTTATTTTAGCTTTCAGGACTTCTTATACTCAATGTTTGTAATTTCTTCTCTTTTTCATGCAATTTTTTTATCCAAGGAAAAGACACTTCAATTCAGAAATTGTGTAGACCAGTTGAGCTCTGAGCTCCTCAGCCAACATGAGACTGAACATGAAAGTTATACTCGTTACAAAAGAGATTTATCATGTACTTCTTAGAGAAACATCATCAGAACCCAAAATATACACAGGAAACTATATATTATCACCAGTAGCCAATAAATCATCAAGGCATTCCAATATGCACCAAAATTATCTCTTCCCTAATTATAAGTCCAATGAAAACTCTATACCTAAATTATTTTAAGTGCAGAAGCAAGTAGACTTACTAGTGTTACTCCTTCTTTAGAGAGTTCCTCCAAAGTTTCACGGTCAAAAACTTTCCCATCCATTGGTGATTCATCAATCTGTTGAATCAACTTCTTAAGCAACAGGAAGGGCAGGGGCAACGCATTAAGAAGTAAATTAAAATTCTAACCTTCCAGTCCCCAGTATGAAGAATAGTACCATCAGAACAGCGAAGAACTAACCCACAACAATCAGGGATAGAATGGGTCACCCTGATTGGCTCTATTTCAAATGGCCCAGCCACAAACTTCTTCTTTGTTCGGAATACTTTGAGTCGTGATGGAACAAAAATACCATGCTCCTTCAAACGTTTTCTAATAAGCTGTTTTAACAGAATAATAATTATTAAAAAAAAACTTTTAACACCTCTGAACTCCTATGAAAAACATGCGCAATAAAAACATAGATAGTTTCATTATAAAAGTTAGACTCCACAATTTTTTAGTGAAAACTAAAAAAATGGTGCGAATTTCCCTAGCCAAATACCTCCATTGTAAAGGAAGATGCAAAAATTGGAGTATGGATATCCAATGCTGGTATGACCTGATGAGCCAAGAGATAATATAGTTAGAGAAGATATTAAATAAGAACAAAATATATGTTATTCAAAATAAAAGAATTATAAAATTTAACCAGAATATTCTTTTTTAACAATTCTATACTCTCTGAAAACTAGACATAGAACTGGTAGGCTGCTCGATATATGTATGTATTAAGGCTGCATAAATGCGACTTGCAATGTTGTAGAGGAACCAATACATCCATCTTTACAACTTCTATAATGAAAACAACAGTATCTCAAGTGGAGCCCAAATCAGCTATGAAAACAGAATTATACAGTGAAAGAGGGAGCACTTGTGACTCAACCATATATGAGATGTATGCTAAGCTTGTAGAAGAGTCCGACACAGTGAGCCAATAAATGTATCCATGAATTCTACACATTAAGCATCCTATAGTCAATAGATCTGATGCCAATTATAAACATAGCTATTTGATAGTTGTCTACCTCCCAGAGGCCCATTGCATTACCTTTACATTAGCATAACAGTCAAGGTGCAAAAATTAGGTTCCTTCACCAGAATAGGAGGCTAACTTAACTCTCAGTTCATCATTACAGAATGCATCAGTCAATGGATGTTATATCCCGTAACATATAAATGAAGATGTAATAACATATATCTATGAGAATTAACAACTCATAGCAGAAGGAAGCATTACCCAAGGCAACGCACCAATATGATCTTCATGACCGTGCGTTATAACCACTGCTTCAATTTTGTGCTTCCATTTTCTTATAAATGTCGTATCAGGTATAATCTTTTGGACTCCAAGCTCATCATAGCTGGAAGATATACAACGCAAATAAGCTTGGATCATTTAAATACTAGAGGAAAAGAATGAAGAACAATCAATAACTGTCCGACAGCAATTTGATAATTACTTTTAGTTCAAATGGGATTCTGAATTTTTAAATGTATTTGTTATGGAAAAGATTAAGAAGTCTAATGAAAAAGATACAAAAATTCTAGTATATGTTTAATTTATAAAGTCATCCACATCTAAGTAAATGCCTATATAACCGTTGTGGCATATTCAATTGGCTATTAAGACTGATAAGCAACAAGAAAAGGGGAGGCAAAGTTGGAGTTGAAACACCTACTCTGGAAACATGACACCAGCATCAATAAGGATATAACGATCATTGTTCCCGACAAGCATGCAATTCATCCCAATTTCACCCAACCCACCAATAGGAAGAACTCGCAGGGGTGGCCCCTCAGATCCTTCATAAAACTGCTCCATCTTGCGTTGAACAGAGTCTTCCATGCTTTTCCTAGGACCTTCAATTTTTCTTGATCTTTTGCGAGGCACTTTAGATCCATCAACACCTTTATGAGACAAACAGATAAAAACGGTTAATAGTAAATAATATCAACAACTAGTAAGACAAGGAAAAAATCAAAAGTATATTTAGTTCATGCTCACATTTATATGCAGCTATGCATGTAATAAAGTTAGACCTAAAAATACAAGGGCATGGACTAAAATCTCAGTCATGAATGTCTTCACTCACAAAAATGAAGAGATTTTTCACCTTCAGTCTCATCATAGATCCTACGAGAATCTGAGAAGTACAAGCTACTTTCTACCTCCAACTTTTTTGTTTTACTCAAACTGGAGTTCAAAATTTATTTCATTTTAGACAAGTTTTCCACTGTTGAGTGCTGAATATTGGCCTCAACTATATCTTGACCTCTCGAAGCAAATAACTCGATCATAAGCCACTGTTCCAACTTCATATGGGAAGTAGCATAATAAAACATATGACAGGAGTTCTCAAATTTCCTTTGACTCCACGGCGTAGTCGCATGAATTATAAAGTGAACTATGACTAGTATAAGCTATTAACCTAACCATTATTACAAGTACCAATAAGAAAACATTAACTCTGGCCTCAACCATACATGAACACTGGAATAGTGATGATGGCTTCTAAGACAGCCCCAAAGCGCAAATAATTTCTTCGAAAAACCTGCTCTAGAAAATAAATATCTCAAACTTCTCATAATCCAGCACTTAGCATTCAGCAAATGACTTATACCCTTCCCATCTATTTGTCTATAATCATTAACGAACAGAATAGTCGAATAGTGAACAGAGAAGAGTTGCATAAACAAAATGCAACAACAACGAGATTTACCACTTACCTGCGAGCGAAGAAGAGCCAACCGAGCACAAAATGGGACGCCTTTTCGGGTTCGGGTGACGATAAAGGCTGTATGGACACAATGAAAGAGAACTAAAACTAGCCATTCTTTAACTAAACCACCCTAAAAAACTACACTTGTAATGGATAGAGGAGAGAAGAACCCCCCGAGAAGAATAATTGAAGGTATCTTGAATTCTCAAAGACTCGAACTTCAAAAATGAAACTTTTTTGGTTCTGGGTGAGGTGGAGGCCGAGAGGGTTTAGAGACTTTGAACGCTGCTTCAGCCTTCAACGCAGCGGGAAATAGTGTTGAAGGCCTTCCGCTTCTTCCCTTGGGGTTCAGAAATATCTTTCTTATCATTTTACCCAAGACGACGAATGTAAGGCAGGGCGATACGTGCGTGGAAAAAAATTTCGGTACCACACGCGTAGGGTTTTTTTTTTTTTTTGGTTGTCTCCAATTTTTTTCAATTTTTCTTTTTTATAAAAGGATGAAACTGAGGCAATTTGGCCTGTATCCTCAATTACATTCATAGCATCCCTCGACAACACATCAAGCAGCTCATATGGTGCGTGAAGCATAAACGTGATCCCTAGCATCATATTGAGTCCTGTCTTTGCGAGATAGTCAACACTAATGTTTGCATTCCTGCTAATTACTCGTACACTGACATCCCATTCTCTTTGAAGTAAAGAGGTGATCTCCATAATTGCTCCATAATCAGAATGCTCCCAGCCACACCCATTTTGTATTAAAGCAATGGTCTCAGCTGAATCACTTTCAAGCTCAACTTTCCTAAAACTCGCATCCCATGCAAGCCTTAACCCATGAGTGCATGCCCATATTTCAGCAGTAAGAGCATCACCTTCCTCCATTTTGTACCAAAACGCACGTAAGAACTGACCTTGTGAGTCTCACAAAAGGCTGCCACATGCTACAGAAAAGCTCTAGCAGGAATAGGCATCATCAATATTACATTTCACCCAATCAGATTCTAGAGGTCTCCAATGGACACTTATAGTATAAGTTGTGTACCACCTATCAAGCTTCTGACTATGACTCTCGCACTCGAGATTATAGTTTTATTATTGATCTTGCTTCTTTCAAAAATAGCAAGATTCTTGCGCTTTCATATCTACCAGCTAATAATAGTAAATAACGCTCCCTAATCATCATTTATATTTTGTCACCTCGGAGAGAGATTCCACTTTATCCAATCATGGAGTTCCAATCCAAAAAAGTTTTGCCAAACAACTGTCAGAAGTATAGATTTTCACAGTTGATAAGTATATTCACAATCTCTAAGAGTATGAATGATGTCCTCCGGCTGGGAACAATAGAGTGCACAAAGATTATCTTCACAAAGACCTCACCATTTTTGTGTTGAGTTCATGAGTAGGCTATCCTGTGAAGCGAGCCACAGAAATGTCCGACATCTCTCTAGTATTTTTATTTTCCATATCTGAGCCCAAATGGAATTAGCTACTCTATCATCATGTTGAAGAGAGGTATAGGCTGATTTGATAGAAAATAAGCCATTTCTCTCCCATTTCTAGCGAATAGCCACATTACTTTGGTTAAGATCCAAATTCATCTATGACTTTGCTCCATGTTTGTTTAATTCCAGGCCACAAATTTGATCCGGGTTTTTTGAGATCAATTCAATGGATCAAGTCATCACCAAAATTGTATTTATTTCAAACCACTTTTACCCAAAATCATCATGCTTTGCCACCATAGACCAGCCAAGCTTCATTAGTAAAGCTTCATTTTGAAGTTGGGCTTGTCAAAGACCCAGGCCTCCTCTTTCCTTAGGCAAACACACATTACTCCAAGCAATAAGGGGAATTTTCTTGCCATCCCATATACTACGCTAATAGATTTTTCCATTGCATTTATCTAGATCGTCACATGCACTAACAATGAGAAAGGAAGTTTGCATCGTGTAAGTTAGTATGGCACTACTAACAAAAGAAATAAGAGTAGTACGACCATCAAGAGAAATAGAATTAGCTTTCCAACTATCCAGCTTAGCTTTAACCTTATCAACCACCTCTTTAAAAGTGTTATTAGTGACCCTTTGATGGTGTAATTGGAACCCAAGGTATCTCCCAAGATCCTCAGTTTGAGTAAAACCTAAAAAGTCACTAATTTTCGAACACTTGGATTAATACATGTTAGGAGAGAAATAAATCATAGTCTTGGCAAGATTAACCTTTAACCCAGAACTATTGCAAAACTTATTCAAGCACTCACTTATAGTGTCTGCTTGTTGGAGTGATGCTTCAACAAAAAGCATAATATCATCAACAAAGAAAAGATAAGATATAGGTGGACCTATCTTAGTGAGGTGAATAGGTCTCCATTCAATAGACATCATCTTCATCTGAATTAAGTGTGCTAGTTTTTTCATGTAGATAACAAATAAATATGGAGAGATGGGATCACCCTGCCTTACTCCCCTATAAATGTCAAATTCATTAGCTTGATCTCCATTCCATAGCAGCTGTATACTAGCAGTAGAAACACTGTAAAATATGATATTTATAAAAAATTTTAGTAAGTCTAGATCCTTCAAACAAGCCATAAGAAAATCCCAATTCACTCTGTCATAGGCTTTTTCAAGATCAATTTTTACAACCATAAAGCCTGTCTTAATTCTCATATGGTGCATTGAGTGAATAATTTCTTGGGCTACAATAATATTATCTGTACTATGTCTCCCAAGAACAAAACTGCATTAATTAGGGGAGATAACCTGGGGCAAAAAGTTCTTCAGAAGATTCTCAACAATCTTCGTAATAATCTTACAGATGACATTGCACAAACTAATAAGACGAATATCCCAAAAGGATTTTGGAGTCTCTTTCTTTGGGATAAGCAGAAGCAAAGTTTTATTAACTTCCTTAATCCTCCTGGGATTCTTAAAAATAGCCTAAATAAATTTGACCATAGTCCTACCAACGGTTGCCTGTTGGTTTTGAAAAAATAGAGCATTAAAACCATCCAGCCCTGAGGCCTTGGGGGCCCATACTAAAAAGCACATCCTTAATTTCCTCATCATTAGCAGGCCTGCTGCAAAGATGAAGAAAAATATCGTCCACATTGGGATAAGAAATAGAGCAATCAAGAGGTGGATGATAACTAACCTCATCGACGAAAAGATTAGAGAAGTAAGAAGCGACAGTCACTTAATTTCATCAGCGTCATACATCTAATTTCCCTATTCATTATAAATAGCATTGATCTTGTTGATCTTACGTCGCTTGTTTGCATGTGAGTGAAAAAGTTTGGTATTACGATCCCCCTACAAGTTCCACTCAACTCTAGCTTTTTGCACCCACAAAAGAGATTCTTGGATTAAAATTTCTTCAAGCTCCTTCCAAAGAGAGAGTTGTAATTCCTTAAGTCCACTCACGTTTCCTCCACAATCAAGTCCCTGAATAGTACCATCTAGACGTCTCATGATCTGCTTCTTATGCACATTAATATTCCCAAAGGTTGTTTTATTCTACCTTGAGCAAGCACCTGCAAACTCAAAAATATTTGAGCACCAATCTAGATCTTCCTTCCATTCATGTCCAATAAAATCATCAAAGTGATTGTGAAGGACCTAAGAGGTAATAAAATGAAAAGGCCGATTTCTTCTCCTCAACCCTTCACCAACGTTGAGATTAAGAAGGAGAGGCCTGTGATCAAATTTAAAGTGTGGGAGGTGTGTCACTGCAGTATTAGGAAATAAGAAGACCCAGCTTTGATTACATATGAATTGGTCAAGTCTAGCCGCTATGTCCCCACGAGACCACGTGAAGCATGGGCCACTAAAACCCAAATCAATTAAGTCAATCCCATAAAACCAATCAATAAAAGCCTAATTACTAGATAATCTGTAACGAGCTTGACATTGATGTTCATGATCATAGAGGGTAGCATTAAAATCTCCTCCAGCAATCCAAGGTCTAGGATAGGAGGCATGTATTCATATTAGATCATGCCAAAGACCAGTATGAATGGAAAGGTTAGGGCTAGGATAAATCACTGTAAGGAACCAATAAGTACCTGTTATCTCCTCAATGTAAAGATGAATAAATTGGAAGTTAGATTCTAAAACATGAATCTTCTTCCTATAAGCATTCCAAAGACACCAAATTCCATCACTATAATTGTTAGCATCCATAACCTCACTGTATTGAAATCCTAAAGGCACTACTCTTCTTGCTACAATATCTTTATGATAGCAAGTTTTAAGAATAGCTAAGAAGTCAACCTTATAATGAGACTTCATCTCCTAGACTAGAGAAGAAAAGCTCTTACTGCTAATCCCTCTTAAATTCCAAAGTTGTTTAATCATAAAACTAGTTGGGGTTGTTGGTAGGAATTATCCTCTCCTATGTTTAAGTCATTGTCTATGATTGCATCATTTGTAGTTGTAGTTTCAGTCAAAGGGTATTCATCCATGGCTTCCACCTTGTTAATATTTTCTCATGAAGGTAAGTCACCTTCAGATGTTTAACTAATATCTGCTAGCCCATTCAGCATAGCAGCTGTGTAAATTACCTCCATAACCACAGAGTTACTAACAGTACTGCTAGCTCCTAGATCTAAATTATTATTGAAAGGCAGCGGCCCATATTAAAGTGTATCAAAGGTATTAGAAGTCAAGATAGGCTTAAGACTTGGGCCTACCATATGTTTATTTTTGCTTCTCTCACCAGTACCCACGTGATTCTCCTTCCCTTTCATTTTGGGTTTATTTGAATTTTTCCTCTTTTCTCTAACCATGGTCCAATCAAAATTATTTGGCTCTAAATCTTGACTAAATGCACATTGACCAAGGTCTTCCTTTCTATTTTGATCCTCTTCCTTCACCCTCCAAATATCCTTCTTACGTAATCCTCTAAAATTATCCTGAACTAATATAGCTCCATGAAGATTTTTTGGCAACATATCATGTAGCGATTTTTAATAGTTCTCCAGTCCACCTTTTCACTCTAATCCTTGAGATTTCTCCCTATTTAAACTGCTCTGAAAATCAAGATGAACAATCATACTCGACCCCTATTCACTACCGCCACCAGATTTGTCATCATAACCTGTTTCCATCGTCATGTTTGTACCCTTTTCCACACCATCTTTGCTGAATCGACCTTTATTTGTTGTATTAGTATGAAACATATACTTTGTAGGATTATGAACTTGCTGTTCATCTTTATTATTCGAGCATTGGTCTCTTATATGGTTGTATTTCCTACATGAGAAGTAAATCATGTGGAGACCCTCATATGCTATGAGTCTATCTTCACACACCAGTCAAAAAATGGGAGTAATGGCCTCT